GCGCTCCGCTGCCCGCCTCGCCGCACTTGTCCAACGTGGAAAACCCAAATACCAGTTTCAAACACTTGGGAAACATTCAGCCCCGCGCGCAGCGCGCATGCGCTCCGCCACCCCCCTTCCCGGAGGCGGCCCCGCCCCCACCGCATTCACGCCCCTCACCGTCCCGGGCCGGGGGGCGGCGGGCCGCGAGGCCAGCCCGCGCGAGGGCGTGGCCTGTCACCATCCCATCGCTGGGGGCCGGGGTCGCGGAGGGGACGGCGGCAGGGCCGGCGGGGCGGGGACGGCCGACACGCGAAACTTTACTAGGAGTTTGGCACTCGGTGGCGGACCTACTGGGCGGAGCCGCACGCCGGCCAGGAACGGCGCGGTGGTGGCCTGCTCCACTAATGACACTCCGGGGCCGGACGAGCCTCCAGACCGTGGCTCTCAAGCCCGGGATACACAGAAGGTGGCCACCGTCCTCCAGTCTCACTGCATTCCCCCGCCTCCCCGCACGGCATAAATAAGGCCCCGGACGGAACTGGCAACGGCAGCAGCCAATCCCCTTGCGGTTCTTACCTCTGCGGCCAATCTGGACGGGCAGGAGGTGTGGTGGGGCCGGCAACGCCTCCCGCACGCCTAGTACTAGAGCGCTGGCCTCCGCCAGGAGCACCGAGCGGGCGGGTCCGAGGGAGGCGGAAGTGGGCGCGCATGCGCACGGCCCTGGCGGCCGATGCGGACCCGCGCCCTCCCGATGCGCGGAGGGACCACCACTCCCAGCATTCTCGGCGGCTGCCCGCGCCTGCGCCCTGCGCCCCCGCCGTCCCTTTGTGTCGCCTCTCGGAGCTGAGTTTGGAATGGCCTGGAGACAAAGGGGCCCCCGAGGGGTGCTGTGTCGAGCTCGGAGGTCTGCGGGGGACGGGCTGGCGGGAGCAGCGCCCTGATCTCAGCCCTTCCCCAGCCGCGCCGCAGGCTGCCCGTCTCCGCACCTTACTGAGGACGCTGCGGACACCCTGGTGCAAGCCCTCAGGGTCGCGCAGCCTTCACGTCCCCATCCCGCCCTTCCCCCACAACCCCGGATTTAGGGCTTTCTGAAAAGCCCGGGCAGAACAAGTGGTTGCCTAGGCGACGGGCCCGGCGGTCCCGCCCCCTTCCGGCCTAGGCACCGCCCTGGGGCGGAGCCTGGCCTGTGGTCGCAAAATTCGCGCCTTTGCATGGCTGCGTTCTCCTCTGAGAGTCCTAGGTTCTGTCGCCCCCTGGGCGCCGCTGTGGCTTCGTGAGCGGAGCGCTGATGACTACTCTGCGCCTCGCCTGTTGAAGAGTCGCCGCGGAGCCAGGTCACCTCACTGTCTTCAACCATGCCGGGTTTGCTTGGTCTTGTGTTTCAGACACCGGGATTCATCCTCAGGCAGAACAGGACTCACCTCTTCAGACCTACAAGATGTAGTTTGAAAGGATTTGGAATGCCTCTTGAAACACCGTGACAATCCTAACCCCACTGGACATGTGTGGAAGTACACTTTGCAACCCCTTGACATCTACATTTCAACGTGGTGTATCTGTAACAGTATTGACCGGGGAGGGGTGTGCTCATCGCAGCGATCGGTCGTAGGAATATCACTGCAGCGAGAGACATTCAATTCAGCTGTTTTTCCTAGTTAGATCGTTCACATTGGGACGTAGCTGCCGGGCTGCATCTTGAATCACAGGGCGTGCATTTCAGCGGGCGAACGTTCGCTCGCTTGGATGTCCTGTGGTGGTTTTACTAACAGATCCAACTGTTTTCAGTCCTAGCCAAAAACAGAAGAACGGAGTTTCACTTAATTGGTAGAAGAAAATAATGGCCCACTAGTGTGCACAAAAGGCTAACAATATGGCTTGGAAACACGAGGAATAACGTGTGGAGAGGGTTACAGAATTGAGAATGAAAAGCGAGCCTTTTCCTCAGAGGTCATAGGTGCAGGGTAAAGGAATAATGGCAATTAAGAGACAGGGATTTTTATCTCAGCGTTCGTTGGGCTACGAATATGTATATTCGTATGTATCTAGGTTTAATAAAGATTAGGTATAACTGACCCTTTCCAAAGATAACCCAGCTGGAGTTTGACCTGGTTGTCTTTGAAAGTCACAATACTTTTACTCCATTCTGCTGCTCATTGAGTTCATAGACACACAAACCCAAAGGCATCTTGCTCCACCAGGATGATTTCCACAAGTACCTACCTACCCTGTGCTACTTACAATGTTTTGTGTTTTGAAAGTACTGACTATGTTAATTGGTTTCATTAAGTGGCTTTCTGAGCAAGCTCAGAAGACCAATAGATAAAATGTAGTTAACTGTAATCAAGCATTTAAAGTATACAGTGTGGAAAAACAAAGGCTGGGGAGATGGCTGAGTTAACCTGAGTTCAAACCCTGAATCCACATGGTGGAGAGATTGCTCCCACTCTGAAGAGTTGGTCCTCAGACCTCCAAGTGAGTTTTCTTATCCCTTGTTCCCTCTGTCACATACACACTAAATTAGTAAATGCAAATTTTAAGGATACCTCTTCCTGTAAAACAGAAGCCAGGGAAGCAATGAACATGAGCCCAGAGGGAGAGTCTGGCAAGAGCCTCCTGGAGTCTGGTTGGAGGTGTTCCCTGAGTGAGACTCCTGGGATAAAGGGCACCCTCCTGCTAAATGTCAGTTTCCCTTTCTCACTTCACCTAGCCCAAACTTGGCTCCCATTCCCAGCCCAAGTCTGTGGACATATGCAACTGTTTGATTTTATAAGGAACAAGCCTAGGGCGGTGAGATGGCTCAACCCTAAAAGGTGATTGCCATCAAGCCTGACAACTGAGTTCACTCCCTGTGACCCCTCATGGTAGAAGGAAACGCCCTCAAGCTGTCCTCAGACCTCCTCGCTTTTGCTGTGTCACACACACACATATACACATAAATGTGACTTTTTTAAGGGAGGTGACAAAAGGAACAGGATTCTCTGAGGTATATTCTGATAAATCGTCCTGGTTGTTTTTATTTCACCTTAACTCTGTGTGCTCGTAGAAGTTCATTACACATGGGGACTGTGCATTTAACTGTCAGTAGAGAGTGGGTAATTGTCATTTTCTTTTTTGAGACAGGCTAACATACTTCAGGATGGAGCAGACTGGTCCCAAACTCCTCAGCTTCAGCCTCCTAAGTGCTAGGATCACAGATGTGAGCTGCCAGGCACATCCCACAAACTTTTGAATGACTCTCTAAAGGCTTAACAAACAGCAGAGTTGCTGCCAGCTGAGGTGAAACACATGAGTGACTGCCTTCTAGCAGACAGAAAATACCATTATTGGGTTTGAAACCATGATTTCCTGTGGCCAATCCAAACATGCCAGCTGTCCAAATCATGGGAAGGTTTGGCTCTCAATATTCCTAGATGTGTTTTTTAAATGTCTGCTGTAGCTCTTTGAGTTCTGCATTCCAGCCTTTGGTTTCTGTTTTTGACAGACACATCTCATATCAGAGTAAAGGCTTTCTTTAGCAGGTGTTTTACTCCCTGCACAGGAAGAGTTTTTGAGGGACTTTCTTAGGTCATGCTCTTTGGTGAATTTGCAGTATATGTCAAGGAGGTCAAAAAGAGTTTACAGTTAGTACTCGGGGGGGGGGGGTCCCACATTTGTAATCACCAAACTCAGGGAGGCTGAAGCGGGAGGCATTTGAAGCCAAGTAGGCTAGTGAGATTTACATAGTGACAGCCTGGGCTACTGTGTGAAACCATATCAACAATTGGGGTAGATGGGTGGGTAAAGAGAATTGCACATTGCTATAGAAACGAGAAATGCACACACATGCAATGACATAATGACGTAAAGCAGGGTGCTGCAAGGAAGAATGCTATTCTAGGAGGACTCGGGACATTTGGGGACCATGACTGACTACCATGATGTATATAGAACACTGTCTACATTACAGTGCCAGTTTATTTAACTCCAAGCAGGCAGTGAGCGTCCAGAATCTTCAGGGAACACAAGTACTCCGGAACAACTGCTGAATCATGTGCCTTTCAAGAGAGCAGCAAAAAAGAAAAGAGTGAAACCCACAAGGCCGAAAGAGTTGAGGCTGCTTAGTACTGTAAGGGACTGAGCAAGCAAAGGTGATGTAACTCAGCACAGTTCTCAGGAGATGGTCCATAGAACTTTCTCGTCAGCTTTGATTTGTTTTTAAGGCAGGGTCTCATACTGATGAGACTGGTCTTGAACTCCTCGATGTTCCTGTCCTTCCCCCCCCCCCGCCCCCCATGAAAGCTTTGGTTACAGATGGACGTCACCAGTCTGGCTCTAAAAAGCTTTTAAACGATTTATCCTTATGTGTATGGGTACTTTGTCTGCATGTCTTTTGTGGACTATGTGTGTGCATTGCCTGCTGAGTCATTTCCTGGCGCTGTTCTCTCATCCTAAGCACACAGAACAATGTAAAGTACACACATACTGTGTCTACTGGTGTGCAGACATGTCTGTTTGTGGATGTAGTGTTGGTCTACATGTGCCGAGTGTGGCGAGGTGCAAATTTGCAGACATGCTGTGTGTATGTTGAGGTGCAGTGTGTGTTGAGGCACACATTGGTGATCGACACGATGAGTGCACGCTGGGGTGCATAGTGTTCCTGGAGTAGGAAGTGTGTGTGTTGGAGTGTGGGTTGAGATACAGGTCTTGTGCTCACTTGTGTGCGCACTCACTTGCGGTGCACGCTAGGTCTCAGCAGCAGACACAACGATGCACACCGGGATCAATCTACTCACAAGGACGAGCTGAGAGACCCGCGCTAAAAAGGGGAAGGACCCAGGGGTTCTGTTTCTACAGCCATCACGCCACTCTATTGCAACACATTGCTGGGTTCACCATCTTACTCCAGCCAGGGTGTTCTCTTCCGGGAGTAGGCGGAGCCCTGAAGAGACACAGGCGCGGCTTCTGGATCACTGGGCGGGACCTGGCCTTCGCGGGTGGGCGGGGCCTGGCCTGCGGCTTTTGCCTTCTGCCTGTTCTCAGGGTCTGTCCCGGACATGCTGCGGGCTCCTAGGTCTGGGCCGGGCATTCGGCTGCTCCGGGACGCGGTGGGTCTCGGGCGACGCGGGCGAGCATGGCAGAGACCACAAGGCCAGGACACCGGCGTGCAGGTGCACAACAGCCTCACAGGCAGGAAGGAGCCTTTGATCGTGGCCCGCACGGACGCTGTCTCCTGGTGCGTGCGCCGGCGGGGTGGGGCGTGGCGTGGTGTGAGAGTCTGCAGAGGCAAATCAACCCTGCAACCCGCCAGTGTGATCCTAGAGCAGTCACCTAAACACCATGCGTGTTTGTTATCGAGAGCTTAGGACTCTTCCCCAGATATCTCACGTGGTAAGTCTTAATATGTTCTCAGGTATAGCTGTGGACCGACTGTGTACGACCATGCACACCTTGGCCATGCTTGGTGAGTTTCCTGGATTTGAATTTTGTGACAAAATCAGAGGGTCATTTATTATGGAAAGGGTAAGTTGTTAGCTTGTTTTTTAATCTGCTAAGTGAACTGAGTAATGACAGCATTCTGGGAATTGTGAGACCTGAGAATGTCTAGTCTCGTTAGTAGCTTTTTGAGTTGTATACTCATTGCTCAGGTCTGGACATTCAGAGATTGGTGTGGAGGAATGCAAAGTGACCCATTTGCGAATTAGATATTTCTAAGGTTGGTCCAGGGACCTGAATCCAACCCTGAGGTGTTTTTGCCTGGCCTTGAATGGGTCACTTTCTTGCTAGAGTCCTGGTTCTTATTTTGAGTAGACACCGAAATGACAACAGCTCAGTGTTTGGAATCTTCATGATATATATGAAATTATATGAAGTGCCGCTTAACACAGCACCCAATGTGACTTGTTGTATGTCCTGGGATAGACAGTGGTAACTGTTGCACCACACTGGATGAAGTTCCTTCTGCGATTGTTGACATTCCCCATTTCCTAATATCTTGTTTGTTGTCTTGGACATTTTTACTTGGGTATTTTTAGAACTAAAACACAAGTGTGCAGGGCAGAGAACATCATCAGACGTCATCAAGTGCTTTTTCCTCTTTTGAGAAACAGTGGCTTAGAATACCACAAGTAGGCCAAGGCCAAGCTGGCTGTCCAGTGAGTCTCAAGGATCCACCTGTCTGCCTCCCTTGCACTGGGATAATATGGAGAATCCTAGTTCTAGAACATAAAACTGGTAAACCCTTGTCATTTGACTTTTTGTTGATGTTGTATTATAGGAGTTTTTACACTTTTAGATAGATGCAAACTCACTCAACAACAGCTCTAAACGTCAGACAACAATACCTTATCCCAGGCTAATGTGATTGCTTTGGTTGCTTCTTGAAGGACCCTTGTGGGCCTCCAGGTAGGACCCAGTTTGTAAAGAAGTACACAGTCTGGAAGTTACATAGTGGTGTGTTAAATTATAACATGTTCCTTTTCAAGAATAATGAGGATGGGGCAAAAATGGCTCACTGGATAAAAGCACCCCCTGTACAAGCATGATGACCTGAGTATGATCCCCAAGACTCACATGGTGAAAGGGGAGCACTGAGTCCCACAAACTGTCCACTGACCTCTGTCCACATTCGTGCTGCTGTAGTATGCACAACCACTCTGTATGCACACACACAAACACATCACATACACACCAATAATAATAAATAAAATTGGGGACTGGAGAGGTGACTTAGTGCTTAAGAGTACTTGTAGTTTGTAAAGGAACTAGGTTCAGTTTCCAGCACCCACATGGTGACTCACAACCATTTGTATCTCTAATTTCAGGGGCTCTGACACCCTCTTTTGACCTCCTTAGGCACCAAGTAAACATATGGTGAACATACATACATGCAGGCAAAATACATGTACATGAGCTAAAGCAAGTTAATCAAAAATGAAATAGTTTTAAGTTAAAAATAGAATAACAATGTTGATTCTGTGTCAAAGACAATCCAACAATTTTCTTTCAGCTCATACGTTAGATTTGATATTATCCGAAGGATCCTGACCAATGTGTTTGGATGCAATGTGGTCATGGCGATGAGCATTACAGATGTGGATGATAAAATAATCAGAAGAGCTAATGAGGTGAGCGTGGCAGCTTTATGGTGTTTGGCAACCTGGTGGCTGAGTGGCAGGCCTTTGCTGATTGTATTTTTGAGTATTCCTTTTTTTTTTTTTTTTCAGTTTGTTTATTTTTTATTTGCATTGGTGCAAGGGTGTCAGATCCCAGCAAGGTGTGTGCCAACACCACCTGGTGCATGCAGTGCTATATTATGAAAATCATACTTGGTGTCTCAGTGATCAAGCCAGAGTCACTCTTCTGATTCAGGGCACCAGCTTGCATGACTGGCTTTCTGGGAAGATGGTGGAATGTGCTGAAGGCCTGGCTCAGTGGCTCCCTGTGAAGGAGGGGATAGCTAACTTGCAATGATTCACATGATAAGTTGAGATATGATCTGGAATAGCAACACTAAGGTTTTTGTCACTTGCCCTGTGTAGTTTCTGTTATGGTGAGTGTCCCACTGTGTCATATGACCAGCCAGCTAGGGAATGAAATGTAACCACCTGACTTTGAGAGTAAGGTTTTCTCGAATAGAGTATCAAGGAGGGAGTAGCCCAACTAGATGTTTACACATATTGGAAAAGCTATAGACAATACTTTTCTATATGTATGTGCATATATGTGTTGTGTGTTTACTTTCTCTGGGCTGAACAAGCATTACTATTGGGAATCAGAGCAACTGTGGTCACCCTGTCATGGGACCCTCAGAGATCATTTCTACTACATTTCCCTCCCAGGGGAGGAGGAGGCCCTCATAGCTCAGAGACTGAGTGGGATTCATCGTTGATGGGGCCGGGCTTCACTGTTGCTTAGTTGCCTTTTGGTCACCCATGCTTCTTTTGGGAACCCCATAAACTCACTGGCTTACCATGGACTTGGATGGAATCCTTCCTTTGGTTCATACCTGCTCTGTGTTTCCTTCCATCTCCCCTATAAAAGTCACATGGCACTGTGTGTGTGTGTGAGCGTGCAAGCGTGCGATCTATGGTAGCCTGTGTGTATTATCCTAGGGCAGGCAATTTGGTGAGAATTAAGGTGTCTGTGCTCTTCTTCCTTTGTCCCTTCTTCCTTCCCCTTTCTTCCTGTCCCTGCCTCCCACTCTCTGACCGTCTCTGCTCTACCCTCTTTCCAAGAAAGACTGTAGCAGTTAGACACTGTTGTACTGAACATGAATAAATAGATGATGGAACCTACTACAGAGTCTTGAAATACATATAATAATTAATGGGAATTTGTTTTATGATAAAAAGATGGCATTTCTAAATCAGTAGGGTTGGGGGAGTTGGGTTATTCAGTCAATAGAGTTGACAGTTGGGTAGCCATCTAGAGTTCAAGTTCAAGTCATGTCTCATGGCCAACTTAAAGCAGATCAGAGATGAAATATAAGATGAATGGAGCCACAGATTCCTGGCAAAAATCCCAGGAGGTTTCTGTGACCTCCTTAGGGAAGGGTCTCTCAGTATGTTTCCTAGGGCAAATCCATTTATGTAGAAAGACTCAGAAGTAGAAAAGATGGAAAATATAAACGGAGTTTTCAGTGTTCTGGGAGTGGCCATACTGTGTGAAACCTGAAGAGGAGAAGCTGAAGAGATGACTCAGAAGTTAAGCACGGTGGCTACCCCTCTGGAGGACCATGGTTCAGTTCCCAGCACCCACATGGCAGCTTAAAACTGTCTATAATTCAGTTCCAGGTACTTGACAACCTCTTCTGGCCACCTTGGTATTGCATACATGTGGTACACTGACATGTATGAAGGCAAACATCCATACCCATAAAGAGAGCTAATGAAAGATGAAAGCTATCAGGATCAAAATAAAAATGAATCTCAACAGAAATAGATACATGCAAAAAGAGTACCACAATATGTAAAAACAGTTGCTAAAAATGAGCAGGAGAAAAGTCAATAAAAAATAGGTTTTGGGCATCTAGACATGTGGGGGATGTACTCCAATTTAGTAAGAATTTAAAAAGGTAAAAATTGAGCTGGATGTGGTGGCACATGACTTTAACCCTAGTACCTGGGAGGCAGAAGCAGGCAGTTCTCTGTGAGTTCCAGGACAGCCAGGACTATACAGAGAAAAAACCCTGTCTCTAAAAACAAAGCCATAAAACCAACCAAATAAAAACATACAGCTGAAGGCATTTAGGTAGTGTGTTGACAAGGTCTGAAAGTGTGTTCAGTGCCTTAAAACTGTTCCTGGAGAGGGAATGTGACTGCTGGGCGTGTGGACCCCATGTCTTCAGCAGTGACATCACCGTGTTTGTGTATCTCTACACACTGCATCATCCCAGTGGTCTAAGGAGGTGAGCATTCTGCTTAGTGAAGAAGAGGGCAGTAGACTCCTGGACCACCCTCTGTCTCCCTGAGGTAGTCCTCCATTGTTGTTTTTCCGGGGTGACTCCTGCTTTAAAGCCCTGAGCAGGACATTAGCTACCAGTTCCACACGCACCACTGAGAAACCTCAGAAATTCTTGATGTCTTAGAGCAGAAATGTCTTCTCATGAGAAAGGAGACTTGTTTCCTGAGGTGGGGTGGTGTGCTTTGGGCAGGTCAAGTAGGTTGTGGGTTCTTGTGCATGGTGTGCATGAAGCCTGCTTGTAACGAGTACGAGAATCATATACAGAATGACATCTCCCATCACCTGCTTGTTTTGTTTTGTTTGAAAGGGTGTCACTATATAGTCCTGGTTGAGGTGGAACTCACTATGTAGACTAGGCTAGTCCCAAAAGAGCTCTACCTGCCTCAGCCTACCCAGTGCACTATCCAACACCTACTTCTTTTAAATTTTAAATTTTTTAAAAATGTATTTTTTTGACAGTTTCATATATGCATTTGTGTGTGCATGTTTCTTCCCATTTGATGTTCCCTCATTTATTTTTATAACCCATAAATATGAGCATGCCCCAGCCATGTGGAAAAGTAACTTTCCCTTTTCCAGCAGCCATCAGTTGCCAGGAGCTCTTCACTGGGTGGAGCCTCATTTGCTCCTACCCCATCTGTACTGTGATTATTGACAAGAACTGTGCTTCTGGGCTAGAACATCAGTGTCTCTGCCGGGTCCCAGCCACCTCTGAGAATCCAGCAGTCAGGGTGTATGTGCCCAGATGTTCTGTGTGGCACCCTCCTGAACACTCAGGAGCTCAGCACAGCCCCAGCCTAAGGACATTGGTACCAGTTCCCTGAGTACTGTGTCATGTTACTTCAGACACTTCTCTAAGGCAGGCATTTCTTACCATTTCTTCCTGCTGTAGGTGAGGTGATGGGTGAGATGATGACTGTTGCACTCATTTGCAGAGGGGAGGAGAGTTAGTTTCTTATCATTTGGTAGAAATGGTACCCAGATTCTCTTCATCCCCAGCGGTCAGGGCCCATAAGTCGTTTAACTACTGAGCTTTAGGGTAGATTTAACATTTAAAATCAATGTTCCCTTCTTGGGGCTGAGCCCCAGTGGGGTATGTAGTCATGGACCTGTCTTCAGGGGTGGCCTGGTCTGCTGTGATGGGTCTGCATGCTCAGCTGCTGACATGATTGTCTGACCTTGTGCAGATGAATGTGTCGCCTGCCTCTCTTGCCAGTCTTTTTGAAGAAGAATTTAAACAAGACATGGCAGCCCTGAAGGTAAGCTGTGGTTTGCCCTGCTGTAAAGGGCAGTGGTAGCTGCCCCACATAATCCTGAACAATCCAGTGCTAGTGCCTGAAGACAGGCCTTGTGGTGTCAAGACTGAAGGAAAGGACTCAAATCTAGACCGCCCAAGTACACCCTATGATGGGCTTAGTTTGGGGAGCTGATCCCTGGGGCATCAGGATGAGCTGGATCCTTCTCCTATGGGTCCGAAGGAGCCCATGTGTATGAGTTAGGATGTTGCCAGAACATCCCTGCTTTATCTTATATTCCCAACAGAATCAGGCACATTTCTGGCACCTGGGTCTGGCTGCCCGTCTTCTTCTTCCCCTCCAGTAGTCTTCTGTTGAGAGTAGAAGGGAAACCACACAGGAAAATCCAGTTGGATCACTGGGGCGTCATGACTCAGTATGGCTGCCACTGTGTTGTGCTGAGCCTGCACATGGCCCCCTGAGCTTGGAAATCATCCATGGTGACTGCCGCTGCCTCTTTCTAGGTTCTGCCGCCAACAGTGTACTTAAGAGTCACTGAGAACATCCCGAAGATCATTGCTTTTATTGAAGGCATCATTGCTCATGGCCATGCTTACTCCACAGCCACAGGTAGCACGAAAGTTAAAACTAATGGTTGGGGGACCCTGGTGGAGTTCTGAGATGCAGATCATGCTGGGGCTGATGTGTGCTGACCCTTTGCTGGCTGTGGTGCGGAGCAAATCTGTCCAGTTCATTTTTAAATTTTTTTTGATTTGTATTTACTTGTGTGCATGCACATGGTGTATTGTTGCACATAGAGGCCAGAAAAGGGAGTGAGGTCCCTAGGAGCTGGAGTTACAGGCAATTGTGAGCTGCCCAGTGTGGGTGTTAGGCACTGTGGGTCCTCTACAAGAGCAGCAAGCACTCCTAACTACCCATCCATTCTCTTTTCAGATTTTATTTTATCATTTTTAATTGTGTATCGTGTGTGTGTCAGGGGGGTTGAGACATGAGTGCAGTACACAGGCCAGAGAGGAGCATCGGATCCCTTGGAGCTGGAGTTATAGCCATGTTGTGAGCTGCCTAGTGTGAGTGCTGGTGCTCTATAAGAGCTCTGGGTCCTACAGGAGTAGTCTAACTACCAAGCTCCTCTCCAAGCTCCTCAGGTTCTTGCTTCAGCTTTTTTTTTTACAACCATAGAACACAGGAAGCTAGTCCCGACCTGTACAGATGCTCACTGTATTTTTCAGTTTGGAGTGTGTGTGTTGTGATGTGGTTTACATATGCATGTGTGTACAGTCTTCTGTGCTGATACTGTAGCTGCTTGTTAGTTGTTAGGCTTTCACAGATGTGTCTGCTTCCCTCACATGGGGAAGTGCTGAACTCATAACTGTCTATGTTAAACAGGCAGTGTCTACTTTGATCTGCAAGCTCGAGGGGACAAGTACGGCAAGCTCATCAGTGTGGTTCCCAGTGCACCTGCAGAGCCAGGTGGGTGATGATGGGTGTGCTGAGGGCCTCAGCCTCTGAATGTGGGGTTCTGAGGTTGGATCTGGAGCAGGGGAGACATGGGCTGACTTGAGGGTCATTAGCCCTACCGTGGAGTTAATCCACTTCTATGAATAGACGAGACTAGCAGAAGATGGTTTGAATGCAAGTTCAGCATCCTGTGCCTCTGTCCTGCTCTGTACCCAGCTGCGCTATCTGCTCCCTCTCCTGCTAGAATTTTCTCTGCATGGGACAGCATGCATAGTGTGACCTATGCAGGTCTCTGGCTGCTTTGTGTTCTCGGGGCTTCTATAGAATTTCTCCTGTATTCCTCCCCCACATCTTCTGCCACTTTTCCAAAGAACTGTCCCTGTTTGCTCAGTGGGATTTGCTAGTTGTGTTACATGGCTTCTTACAGATTGGTAATTAATGTACAGGCGTAGTCAAACTCTGAGTGTCTGTGGATAGAGATTTGTGGATAACACATTTGATACCAACCTAATTTAAAATTTTTATTATTTATTTTTGAGACAGAGTTTTTCTGTAGCTCTGGCTATCCTGGGACTTGTTATGTAGATCTGGCTTCAGAGTGAGGTCAAGTACTGGGATTAAAGGTGTGTGTCACCATCCATATCTTAAGTCTAATTTGTTTTTTTTTTTTTTTTTTTTTTTTTTTTTTGAGACAGGGTTTCTCTGTATTGCTTTGGAGCCTGTCCTGGAATTAGCTCTGTAGACCATGCTGGCCTCGACCTCACAGAGACCTGCCTGCCACTGTCTTCCAAGTGCTGGGATTAAAGGCATGCACCACCAATGCCTGGCTTTAAATCTAATTTTTAATAGTCTTGTTTACTTGACTCTCAGAAATGGTTTGTTACTTTTCCCCAGTCCATAGCCTCCTGTTGTGGCCATTCACAGTGGAGCATTCTGGGATTCCCATACCGATGGGGATGGTTTGAGGCAGGCTTGGGTTGTGCCTTCCAGGAAGAGGACTTTGGGAGAGTTGCAAGTTCCTGCAGAAGCAAGCTAGTTTTATTGGCTTGTATTTGGCTTGAGGGACAAGGTCTCGTGTAGCCTAGGCTAACCTGGAACTTGTTGCTCAGCAGAAGGTGCCCTGGAACTCAGGCCCTGCTCTTACTCTCAAGTGTGGCCCAGCTTTTGATTTTATTTCCGCTGGCTTTGTGTTTTTCAGGGCCACTTGAGGTCCACAGTTCAACAGAGTGAAGGTACAGAATTCTCATTGGACCTCTTCCCCTGCACAGCCCCTATGCCCCTTCCCCCAGAGCAGTCTGAGGCATCAGTGCCTCCATCACCTTAGTCTGCAGGTCGTTAGCACACCCCTTGGTGTGGACAAATGTTTGAACAAATGCCACATGCCATGTTCCCACATGACAGTTCCCACACCATCCCTGAGACCATATGTGCTCCGTGCTTCTCCTGTATCTTGTTACCTCAACCCTGGAGCTTTTCACTGTGCATAGCTTTGTTTCTCCTGAATGTTGCAAAGTTGTACACATTCAGCCCAAGCCTTTCCAGGTCGGTTTTTCTCAGCAATAGACATTTGTGTTTTGCTTTTTGGAGACTGTCTTTCTTGATACAATGTAGCCCAAGGTGGCCTTGATCTGTATAATCTCCTCCTGCCTTAGCCTCCAGGGTACCAGGGTTAGAAGAATGCTTACCATGCCCAGCTAGTAACATAGTTGAAGCTCTGTAGGTCTTTGGTAGCTCTGCTCTCACTGATACTGAATAATGGATGTTCCATTGTCTGTGTGTCTAGTGTCTGCTTGCTAGAGTTTCTTAGTCCATCCACTTATTAAAGTCCATCTTGACTGCATTCATGTTTGAGCAGTTTAGGGATAAGAAGACTGCTGTGAGTTTCCACCTACAGGATTTCACCTGAATGTTTTCAGTATCTCTGGTAAGCACCAAGGAGTATAATGGCTGTGTCACATGGAAAACCTATTTGGTTTTGTGAGAAGTTGCCAGCATCCCCAGCAAGGAAGGGATAACTCTCCCCAGCCCCTCTGTACTCTCAGGGCAGCATTGTTGGAAGTCCCTGCCTTATTCACAATCACAGTGTAAATAAAGGTTTGAAACTGGGGACTAGTGCAGCAAAACAAAGGTACTGAGCCCTTGTGGTGCCATGACAGGCACCAACCACTCCTCTGTGTGTGTGTGTGTGTGTGTGTGTGGTGTGTGTGTGTGTGAGAGAGAGAGAGAGAGAGAGAGAGATTTCAGAGCAAGGGTTTTCATGGTATGCAAATTTTGAATTGTAGCAATAACAGGATTGGAACAGACCGAACTGGGCCATGCTTGGTGACTTCTGGGTTGAAGTCCTGTGGTCACCCCAGTGAAGAGAGGTGGCCCTGGCCCAAGTCAAGCTCTGGCTATTTGGGAGCAACCACTCCCTTAAGGCAGTGCTCGCCTCCTCTCCTCACCATCCCAAGTTTCTGCACGGCCCACATGTGGGTCCTGGATACTGTGGTTATCTCTAGGTATCCCGAGTCTTCTATACGAGTTCTGCATTCTTCCCTGCCATTATTCTGAAGAACCACCTCCCACCCCATCCCCATTTGCTAAGCAGGTTTGTCTCTGCTGTCCTGCTGAACTGTCTGTTCCTGCCAGCTTTGCTCCACATCAGTGTGTGGCAAACCCCTGTGATACCCGGCCTTCCCTGCCCATGTCAGTCCTATTTACTAGCCTGCGATTCTCAGTGGGTCCCACTGTGTGCTGTGCTCAGTACACATGTGGCATTGTGGGGCAGAGGTCCAGACTGATCTGTGACCTCATTTCTGTCCATGTAAGTAGGGACAGTAAATCCAGTGACAGCCACGAATGGGTAAATTGAATATGATTGGCATTTAAGAGGGGACTTAAACAGCTCAGCTCGCTCTTCCTCTCCTGACTTACCTTGTCCTCTATCCTGATGTCCCTCTAAATGCCACCTTTGCCCTCAGTAGGATTGCTGTCATTGTGGAAAATGTCACGTAGGAACCTAGTCACTCAAAGGTAGCGGAGCAGAACTGGCTATACGCTGGGTTCAGGTCCCTTGGCAGCAAGTGCCCTGGTGTTTGCAGGCCCGGCTGTGCCCTCTGTGACCTGACATCTTGGATACTGTGCCGCTGCTCTGCTTATTGACTTGGAGTCATTCACCCCACTGGGGAAGAGTAGAGCACATTGGGAAGAGGCATGAGGTTTGCATAGAGGGGACACACCATCATCTGGCTGGCACACAGGTGGCAAGTGATGCACTGAGGTTTCTCACTCTTCAATGCTCTGTCACCAGCAGTTGACTCTGATAAACGGCACGCCGGCGACTTTGCCCTGTGGAAGGCAGCCAAACCTCAGGAGGTATTCTGGACCTCGCCATGGGGAGACGGACGGCCTGGTTGGCATATTGAGTGCTCCACCATGGCCAGGTAAGACTCCAGCAATTCCTAAGCTTCGAGTGTTGAAGCCCAGTGTGACAGGGTGGCCTGGCAGAAGGCGAGAACAGTGGAGACTAGAGGGCAGCTACCGGGGCCGGGGATGCATGAAGAGGAGTGCCCAGCCCAGCCCAGGGCGTGCCCAGCCTTTTTGTGTAGTTTCCTGTTAGCAGAACAGGCTCCTGTCACACAGCAGCAGGTATACCTCAGATCTCAGAGCATGTAATGCAAGGGCCACATCAGGAAGGACCTTAGCTAGGCATGGCACCTCTGAAAAGGCATTTTGAGGACATGTATGTGCCCTGGCCAGCCCACCTCTCCAGAGTGCAGAATCTACCTCTGTCTCAGGAATAGCCCCTCCACCAGCTGGGAGAGTTCTACTACCCTTCCTATCCTCAGGCAACCCTGTGTTTCCCTGGGCTTCTGATGACAGCTCCCACAGTTGGTCCCCTCCCTCCCTGTAAGCCTGGTAGATCCAAGTGCAGCTGGGCAGAACCATGTTTTCATGGTGTGAGCAGTGCTTCAGGGAATGAGTGTGAGGTGTGAACCTGATGCTGAGGCTACTCATAGATGCTTGCACCCTGCCCTGCAGCGAGGTGTTTGGAAGCCAACTGGACATCCACACAGGCGGTGTAGACTTGGCCTTCCCACATCATGAAAACGAAATAGCGCAGAGTGAAGTCTTCCACCAGAGTCAGCAATGGGGAAATTACTTCCTGCACTCTGGTAAGCCTGGCTTGTTCTGTCAGCTCTGTAGATGGGCTTGATGAAATCATTGTTTGGGTTTCTGTAGAATCTTTTTTTCATGTATATATACAGTGTATCTCTACACTGATCATGTCCACACTCCAGTCCAGCCTACCACTGCTTTTTTTTTTTTTTTTTTTTTTTTTTTGGTAATTCTTTGAGTTCAGTTAGTGTTGACTGATCTTGTTGGCTTCATCTTGTGTCAGTCTTGTATTGGTAACCATGGCTGCAGCAAGCAAGCTCCTGAGTACAACAGCCACATTTTATCTAGAAGACATTTCACAGCAGCCGTCTCTGTCTTCTGCCTCTTGGATTCTTTCTAGGTTTTTTTTTTTTTTTTTAAATCTGAGATGTCCCTTGAGCCTGGAGGGTCTAGATCTCCTGTTAGGGCTGGGTATTCAACAGCCACGTACCTTTAGCACTTTGGCTGCCCTGACAGCTGTCCACTGCAGTAAACATAAGTATTTAGAAGGCCTTTTGATGTAGTGTTGCTTAGCCAAACAATAATAGTAGGCTCCCTGCTGAGGCCTGTGACTCCTGAGTCATTGGCTTTTGGCCAGGTTTACAGCACCTGTGGAGCAGGTCTCATGCCAAGTCAGAAAGTGCTCAGTTACTACATTGCTTAAGTACATTGAAGAGAATCTCAGAGGCACCAAAATGCATCCATGTTACAACAAAGGGAAGAAAACTCAGTACTTCCTCTTGGGTTAATTTGGTTGGTTGTTACATTGTTCTCTTAGAAGCAGGTTAAACAAACAGGCTGAATACACAGTAGAATTTCAGGCTGTCTTCAGTGACCTCAGGGTAAATTAATAACTTGGCTGTGATGCCCAGTAAAAAGTTCCATTGTCTTTGAATATACAAAGTATTTCCCTAAAATATTGCCACAAGTTACGGGCACAGCTTGCCTCCCAGGTTGATATTGTAGCATTTGGAGGTCACTGCTGGGGGATGCCATTAATGATTCTTCTTCCTCAGAGGACAGCACAGCACCTTGGCTCCCAGGTTGATATTGTAGCATTTGGAGGTCACTGCTGGGGGATGCTGCTAATGATTCTTCTTCCTCAGAGGTCAGCACAGCACCTGTTTGGGGGGAGTTCTCAGGGTCAGCACTTCCAGAGGGGCAGAGGCGGCGGGTGAATTCTCTGTGAGTGTGAGAGCAACTTAGTCTACATAGTGAGTTCAAGAGCAGCCAGGAGTACATAGAGAGACTTGTCTCAAAAATTCAGCTCCCTCCAACAACAGCAATGAAACCCACAGAATCCAGTGTTTGGCAGTGGCCGTGGCTCCCAGAAGCAGGTCAGAGGTGGAACTGAGCCTGACTCTGAACTTGGTGGCATCATGGTAATGGGTGGTAAGCAGGAAAATGCATGTGTTGAGTGTGCTGAAGGTCCCAAGGTCAGCAGTGCCCTTTCAAATGACTGCTAGGCAGATGAGGCAGAGGAAGGATGCAGGTTTGGCAGCAGTGGGATCATGGGATACTACACACAAGCATCTACAACATGGACATGTGCAAATGCAGTTCCATTGAGTTCTAGAATCTGGATGTTGTGGTGCCCTGTAGGGTGACATTAGTGATGCTGCTTACATCACCAAGAGAGGCTGGGCTGCTGGCCTGGTACATGCCCATACCCTGTGTTGTTGACATCCAATGCATTTTTTTTTTTTTTGCAGCTACTATCAATACAGCTAATTCAATGTATATGCAGCTAATATCAATGTATATGATGTATATATAAAACTAGCGGCTCACCGCTATGTTTCATCGGAGAGGGCACATTTTTAATAAATTCCCAGGAAAATCAATCTTGCAGCACCCTCTATGTGAAGGTGCATTTGAAAAAGAAGGAAAATCTGTCTGGAACAGCAAGACCCTCCTCTGGAGATGAGCATTGTTGAGACACACCCCAGTTAGAAGCTCCCTGAGTGGGTCTGGTTTTCCGCCTGTATTTCATGTACCTGTGGGAAGATAGCTATAAAAGAAAAACAGACAGCCATATCCCAAACCTGGGTGACCAATGACAGATGACCAGCCAGTTCATCAGTGTTTCTGAATAGGACAGGAATGCATGGGTGAGGAAGCAGGGCTGCCCATCCTACTCTGTTGGCTGGGGGGGGGGGGCTGAGTGGGCCTGTTATTGTGTACCACTGTGGTGCAGTCTTGTCCTGAAGGGCTGCACACATCACACACTGCAGGTGCAGGTTCCTATAGGTGTGAGTTACTGCCCTCTGTCCGGGGGACACAAGCCTCGTGGCTCCATGGGCCCAGCTATGTGCTGGATCAGGGCTATGGATAGAGAAGCTGATCCACTCTGGTGTCCTGTTAACTGTATAGGGGTCTGCCCAACTCAGGGTGACCAGGCCCTGCTATGGTGGGACTCACGGCGGGCCTAGAAGAGGCTGTAACTGTAGGGGATCTCCTCACCCAATTCAGGGTGACCTGAGGCGTGGTCTCCTCACTCAACTCAGAGTGAATGCTTTTATTTTTATTTCAGGGCATTTGCATGTGAAAGGCAAAGAAGAAAAAATGTCCAAATCCCTAAAAAACTACATCACCATTAAGGTAATGTTCGGCTGCGTGCTCTCCTCTGTGTGCAGTGGCTGATGGCTGCTGAAGTGGCGTGTGGCCCCCTCCGGGAGCCACTCTTTCTTGTCTCAAGGCCCTCGGCCCCTCCTCAGGCCAGCTGTTCTCTCCACTGCTTCCACTGTGGACCTGCCTTTCTTCCCACCTTCCCAGAATTGCATCTCTTTCTTCTTTTTGTAAATTTTTAAGAGATTTGATATTTTTATTTTGTGTATGCGAGTGTTCTTCTTTTTGTAAATTTTTAAGAGATTTGATATTTTTATTTTGTGTATGCGAGTGTTTTTCCTGTATGTTTGCCTGTGTGTGCATGCTTGCTGCCTGTGGAGGCCAGAAGAGGCCACTGGATCCGTATTGATCCCTGAGCCTTGGGTGCAGGAGTTATGTTGTAGATGGATGAGTTGGAACTGGGCTGCTTCTCTTATGGTCTCTGTCTACTGAAAGAGAAGTTTCCTCGATGAGTGGTAGAATTACACTTATCTGTGGCATAAGAACAAATATTTAGAGTGTAGTTAGGGATTGTGCTGATTTAGTAAGAGGTGGTTATAGGGTTCCCCTGTAAGATCCATGACTTCACTAGCCCTAGGCAGTTGGCTAGGTTTCCAGGACCAATGGGCCTAAGTTCAGTTCATTAGAGTTGTTGGTTACCTCCAAGGTATGGGTATCATTATTGCACCCATAGAGTTTAACAGCTCACAGGCATCACAGCTGGCTAGCACCATTGGTTGCTCCCCTGCTTTGGAAGTTTGCATAGACCAGTATGAAAGCTGGTCTTCAGGGAGGACCAGCATCGTCAGTGGGCAGGGAACAGTGCCATCACATGGGCTGGGTGGGGGCCCTCAACCCTCATCTCAGTCGAACCCTGAGTTTGGATGTCAGCTTGTTTTGACCTCGACTGAGCTGTCATTGTCTCTTCTCCAGTGAGGCCAGGTGAAATGTGCCCTCTCTTCTTGCTGTGCACACTGTCCCGGTCAGTCATTAGGCCTCTGCTAACAGCCAATGTTAGGTATGGGGCTCCAATGGCAGAGCTTGTTTCCCAGAACCCTGTTCACAGGAAGGTTGGGTATTCCCGTCAGCTCTCCCACAGGTATGAAAGTGACCATGGGATGTGATGAATGACAGAGCTGTCAGGGATTGATGGGGAATGGTCTTCTGTATATGTTTACCTTAGTGGTTGATGAATAAAACACTGTGGCCAATAGGGCAGCACAATAGGTGGGGGTCTAGGAGATGAGGATGATTCTGGAAAAGGTAGACACAGTGAGTCACCATGCTGGGCATAACCAGGTAAGCCACAGCCTCATGGCAATACATAGATTCATAGAAATGGGTTAATAATTAAGACAGAGCTAGCCAATTAGAAACCTCAGCCAACGACCATTAGCTTTATAATTAAGGTAGTGCCCATGTGTTTCTCTGGGGCTGAGAAGGACGGTGGGACCTGGCGGGCCAGAAAGCTCACATTACAGGGGACCAGTAGCGGTGAGGGTTGAGCACAAGAAGGCTTGGGTGAACACCCTGCATTTCATGCTGTCTGTACTTCCCCTGCATCGCCACACCCAGTGCTACAATCCTAAGTGACAGCTGCCTTCTTCTGTTTCTAGGACTTCCTGCAGACTTTCTCACCTGATGTATTCCGGCTTTTCTGCATGCGCACCAGCTATAGGTCAGGTGAGCTGGCTCTCACATGTCTGGGGAAGCAGAACTCGCTTGTGTCAAATCCATCCAAGCATGTGGTTGCTGGCTTGCCACAGGATTACTAGAGAAGTGAGCCTGGAGGGAACTCCACTGGGAAACACAAGCTCAGTGCCCAAGGCAAGGCTTGTCTTTCCAGAGCCCACGGCCTGTCTGCCCATGTATGCACATGTCACTGAAGTAAGCCCTGTTGTCCAGCAAGCTCCAGAACAGTTTTCACTGGAACCTGTTCAGGGCCAGGTCCCATATGCCCAGGGAGTCCTTTGACCACCGCAATGTCTTCTGGTCTCTCAGGTACCATGTGCTTCAGGGCACACTGGGCATTTCTTCATTGACCATCTCTTCCTTTGCAGCCATTGAATACAGTGACAGTACCCTGTTGGAAGCCAAGCACCTGCTGCTGGGGCTGACCTCGTTTGTGGAGGATGCTCGAGCCTATGTAAAAGGGCAGCTGACCTGTGGCCCTGTTGGGGAAGGTGTGCTGTGGGAGAGGTGAGCAGTTCATACCTACTCGGCATTGTCACAGAGCCCACCAGGAGTACCTGCGGAAGGCCACCTCCCTCCTGCCGGCTGTCAGCCCCTCAGGAGCTGGTATCTAGTCATCCCCATTTCTCTCTTCTCCTGAGCCCCGCACAGGCCATGTTCATCTAGAGCTGGACATGTTTCCACTGTGTTCCAGTGGCTCACAATAGCTACACTTGTTAGGGAGGGGCTGTCGCATCTATAATTGACTATTTATTACACAGTCACTCAAGTGGATCCTGTGCTCTCAACAAGTGGGTAGGTTCTCTTCACTCCACAACTTTTTTATTTAGCTAAGGTGGTGGTGCAGACTCTGTTGTAAAACAGTAAACATGGCTGGGAAGGGTACCAGAGTTAAAACATTTTTATTTCTTAGGGGAAGATGTTTGTGTATTCAGGGTTGGTGGCAGGCCAGCCTAGGGCACCAGAGGGCTTCTGGAGAGCCCCTTACCTGCCTCTTCATCATAGTTGATGTCTGTATTTCACTCCAGGCTGGCCAGCACCAAGAAGGCCGTGAAGGCTGCGCTAGCCAATGACTTTGACACACCGAGGGCAGTGAATACCATCCTGGATCTTGTGCACCATGCGAACAGAGAACTTAGGGCAGTTTCCAAGGTGACTTGAAGAATCCTACAGATGTGGGGTGAGGTGGGGAGCTAGTCCTAGGGAAGAAATGGGCACCAACTCCACCAACCATCTAGACTGGCTCCCGAAGCTGGCAGTGTCAGGGCAGCTCCCAGTAAACCCTCCCTCCTGAGAGACTTCACAGGCTCAGCCTGCCACACATTCATGTCTCTTCACTCAGTAGTAAACAGACCATGGGCAGCAGGTGGATCATCTCTCTACCCCTGATAAAAAAAGATGGTTGTGTCACATGGCTTCCTGGTGGCTTACAGGCACCTGGAGGGATCAGAGTTTGTTGAAACAGAAAGTCTGACTGGATATGTAGCTCAATGGTGAAGTGTGTGCCTTGCGTACACAAGGTCCTGAGTTCAATCCCCAGGACCCATCGCCTCCCCTCTCCATAAGGAAAACCCCCAAACAGTGGGAAGCTATGTTGGGACCTGGGCTCAGATGCCAACCAGCTGGGCTCAGGCTACCTGCTGAAGCTGGTGCAGGGCATCCAGCATTATGGGGATGGTACCAGGTGGCCATGTAGTTTTGGATTCTTGAGTGTCACTATCAGCACCAGAGTGTGTCTCGACAAGTGACTAGAGGCTCAGTGTCTACACAGGCACCACACAGTCCCAGCACCTTTCTTCTTAGTCCCCTGCATGGTCAGCCCCAAGGTGTTCAGGGTGACATTACACACACTGAAGGCAACCAGTGGGCCACGCCAGCCATACTCAGGAAAGCCGGCTGCGGGTGCTCCCAGAGTTCTAGAAGCCTGCCTCAGCCTTCACTTCCAGGGATCACTTCCTGTGAGTCCCACACTACCCAGCCACCTCTGGGGATTGCTCTAGGGAGAAGGAAAATACAGGCTGATAAGGGGACAGGTTAGCACCTGCCATTCCAAGAATGGCACTTGGCCCATATGGGTCTCTGAGTTAGTTGACAAACACCAGATTCTCCGGGATTCTCTTGTTTTCTGCTCCAAATCTGAGGCCCACAGTTCCCTCTATCATGCCCCAGGTACTGTATGCATGGCCATGCTTAACCCACAGGACTTAGATGTACAAGGTACTGCCATGGTGTGAAAGAGCCCACAGAAACCAAAGCAGAAACACTCTGACCTCACACCCATCCTCTTGTAGGAAGCTGGTGGCCCAAGAAGTCCCACTGTGATTGGTGCCATAATCTCCTACGTTGAGCAGTTTTTCGAGACTGTTGGGATTTCTCTGGCACATCGACAGGTACATCCATCTCTTTCAAATGCTTTGCTCTGAAACTACCTACATATTACACACTCCTTTGGAAAGTGTTCACTGAAGGGTGGCTAGTCCCTGACTTGCACACTGGGGGCACAGTTAGCTGACAGTCCATTGACCAGCTTGCAGCAGAGTAGCGGTCAGCCTCTGTCTACCAGTTGTTCTGATGCCCCAGAGTACAGGAAGGTGCAGGGGAGAACATTTTCCCCTGAGCCATATGAGATGGCAGTGGGCATGAGTGGGTCCCTCGTTCCCTACACTTGGCATCTCTCTGGCTGCAGGAGGCCCTCTGGCTTCCCCACCTGCCCAGCGGGTCCCTTCACTGGACAGGTTCAGTTGCTGGGATGATTCTGCCTTCCCAGACCTTCCTCGATGTGATGTAAGCCAGCTGTGTGGGAGGTCCCCTCTGACTGTAGTGTCCCTCAAAGGAATGCTAGGTTATCCCTTCCTGTGATGTTCAGCTGTACCAAATAGACAGGACAAGGCTACCAGGTCTTCCCACAGCCCTCTCCTCCCTTCTAAGTGGGGAGAGGTCTTGGTCCTATGAATCCAGCCTGGTTCACAAGGAACACACAAGTCTCCTATCTACTCAGTTCCAGTTCATCTAAGTACATGGCTTATGAGGCATGTTCCCTAGATGTATCCCATCATCCTCTGGATGTCACTGTACAATTTCCATGCAGGTCTGTCAGTGCATGGAGGTGAGGTGTGTGTGCACCCAATTACATACACATGATTACATCTAACTTGGCTACCACTACACCTCTCTGTGGATCCTGAAGCCAAGGGTCACTATCCACTCAGCCCATGTACCCTGTTCCCACCTGTGTGCACAGGTAGAAGTCCCAAGGAGCTGTTCAGGGCAGCTCTTCTCTGTAGGTGGCCCCATGCACGGGCATCACCGTGGGTGCTTAAGTCCCCATTCAGGTCCCTCTCTCCTCACTCACTTCACTCTGCTTATGCCAGCTTCAAGGCTGTTCTGGAAGGACAAGGCAAGGGCTCAGAATCACCCCCCTCCCCAAAGCATCTCCATGTGCCTGGCTGTAGTCAAGCCACACTTCTGTCAAGGTCACTCTCCAATAGTGGCAGTCCTGCCCAGGCTTCTGTAGCCACTCCTAGGGTCTCTTGCTGGCTTCCAGACAGGTGCTTTTTGCTCTAACGGGACCAGCCTTTAGATCCCTTAGCCAGTGTCTGCACAGCTGGACAGATCACGGGAGCTCAGTATGTGCACACATGCACATAGGGTGGGCCACTTGACATTTATGGGGGCTCAAATGCCTGACTATGGCAAAAAAAGGTCTGTCTTCATTCATGCTGAAGGCTGCTAGACTTTCCTAAGGTGATAGGATTCTGCTGATACTTGCCATATCCTAAAATTGTTATTAGAGGCCTAGATGGGTGTTACCATCTTAGCCTGAGCCAGTAAAAGCATGAAGTGTTTTTCAGGGCCAGCCCTGGTGCTGACTAGCTTCATCCACCTCCAAGATTCCATAGAAAGTTCCAGCATTAGGACATGGACCAAGCTCAGAATCTCGATGAGTGTGGTCTCCCAGGCCATGGACGGAGACCCTGCCTTGCCCGGCACTCATTTAACAGCATCTCACTTAAATGAGGCTCAGTGTGTTTCAGGAGACAGCAGCACGGCAACACTGCACTGCGTGGTAGATGAACTCGTGCGCTTCAGGCTGAAAGTCCGCCAGTATGCATTGGCTACACCTGGGGCTACCGGGGAGGCCCGGAGACAGCAGCTCCAGGAGAGGCAGCCCTTGCTACAGGCATGTGATGCATTGCGCCAGGACCTCGCCACCCATGGCATCAATGTTAAGGTTAGCAATACTGCAAAGACAGGGGACACCATTGTCACAAGAGACAGTAAGGCAGATAGTGGGCAGTCATCTGGTGTCTGAGAGATGGCAGATGTAGAGGGATGTGAGAGGATGTGTAGACTGGAAGAACTGCCCAACTCCACCCATGTAGCAAGAAGCTGGCCCTGTCAGGGTGTGGGTTATCCCACTCCTGGCATCCCACTGCCGTCTCTGACTTCACTTTCTGACTTGTCACCTTGTCACCTTCTCCTACAGGACAGAGGCAACACAACCTCCACATGGGAACTGCTGGATCCAAGAACAAAACACCAGAACCCCGGAAGTTGAGGATGAGACAGTGGCAGACCACATGCCACCACGTCATGGCACCTGCTCTTTTGTGCTGAAAACTTTATATTAAAGTTGCCAATTGTGGCTGTTTAGCCATCAGTAAAGTGAGCCTGTGTTGTCCACTGGCCTGTGTTCAGATCTGCCTGGACAGTTACTCAGGCAGTACCATGATGGCCACATTCTCAACATCTCTTCAGTTAAGTTCACAGCAGCTATCAGGAGACATTCTTGATCATGGCTAGTCAGCCCTCATGACCAAGGATTAGATGATACAAGGGGAGCCAAAGAGCTGACCCCCATTAACTAGGCAAGTTGTTGAGTTGCCAGAGCATTCTATTGAAGGAGGCTCAGCAGGTAGAGAGGAGGCCACAGTGGACAGCTGGTAAACAGACACAGGTGACAAACTAGTGACATTTTGGCACGCCCCACCATGCCCAAGTGCCAATGGCACCCAAGTCTCCTGTCCTTCCCACAGGCCTCTAAGAGACCTCTAGGTGCATGGTCACTGGTTACTCTGAACTTCTTCATTAAGTTAAGACCCAGTTGTGGAACAGATAACTACAGGGCTGAGGAGTGCCCGCAGGGTCTGTGAACCTTAGTTAAAAACCAAACCTGGCAGCCACCAGTCACCTGAAAACTGGAGCCCTGTGAGCGGGTGTCTAGTAAGGGAAGGGTACGAGAAGCCAGAGAACAGACTCCAAACATGCTGTCTCAGAGCGAGCCCAGATCCAGTTGAGCTGCTGGGAAAATCTTTACTCTCATTTTCTCCTCAGTTACTGCTGAGAAGCCAAGAAAACAACACAAGACCAGATTAATGTCATAACATCTCAACTCTATTTTAGTCAGGATGGACGGCTATGTCCTAAATTCTGTCAGCTAGTTTAGGCTAAGGTCCAGCCAGCACGGACCTGGTTCAGCTGGGCCCATGGCTTGGTACATGGAGGACACAGTGTGGGGTATCCTCAGTCTGCATGGCTCAGGTCAGGAAGAGCTTGCTGAAGGCAGGTCCTACCTCGGCGATCATGTCAGTAGTAGTCGTGGAACGCCCGTACTTCTGGAAGGCCTGATGATTACACTCCCTTGTGAGTGTGCAAGCACCCCAGGCAGCCACCAGTAGTGGGCTGGAGCTGTGAGACAAGGAGAATCAAAGGCCTCACTGTAGGCCACTGTGAAGAGCGCCGGGCTCTAACTTTTCACCCCATTTCTACCTTCAACTCCCAAATAGCAAGGTTTAGCCAGCTGAGCCCTGAGAAGTCAGCTTTACTGCAGCTGAGCCCTGGTGCACCCCAAACACCCTCATTTGTAACTGGCATATGACTCAGTGGCAGAGCACAGGCCTAGGAAGCACAGGTCCCATCCCTCAAGATGGGCAAGAACCCAGCAGAGGGAAGTAGTTTTTCCTGGTGTGAGAGGCGCTTGCTGGCGGTGTGGGCTTTAACAGTGCTCACTGGTTTTCTTAGAATGAGGCAGAATGTCTGAAGTTGGCACGCAGACCTGCTACTCCAATGCACACCCCATCTTGGGCTACGGGTCAGAGTAGAACCGCTCTCTGTACAATTGCCCTGCAGAGCTGAGCCAAGTTAAGTCCACCTGAAACCCCCTGTTTGCTGCATTAGTGTCAAGTGGGGCTCCTGAGTGTCAAGTGGGGCTCCTGAGGCTGGGCATCCTGTGCTTAGCATGGGTGGCCATGATGGTCCATAGAACAGGTCACATGTAGAGAATCTATGAGCTTAGCTAGCATCCTGCTGCTTCAGAAATCACACATCTTTGAAGACCAGTGTCCAGGAGAGCCATTCCTCCAGCCTGTCTGCTCTCTACTATCAGTTACTAGAAGCCATTGGCGAACTCCCCACAATGCTGTGCTTAATCAACCCCTCCGCAGTGCCAGGGCCCCATCCTCAACTGTAAAGTTGGGATCTAGTATGTGTGTAGAAGCTCTTGTGGACAGGTAAGTCTTGTCCCATGTGTCTGTCACGGACCACTAACAGTTCACCTGTGATACTAAAGGAATTGACACATGAGCTGCCGGAGAGCTGACAAGACTGACAATCAGCAGGACAAACGAGGTGTGACATACCCATGTGTTTTCTCTGGTCCAGCAAGGAGGGCCCAGTGCACCATGACACCCAGGGAGCCCGACAGGAGGTCCCCTTGCCCCCCACACCTGCGACCGCTGCCTTCCTGGCTGCACACAAGCACTGCACAGAACAGATATGAGCAGGAATCAGTACCAACACCATGAGCTGCCCCTCCCGCCTGTCCAAACTACAGAGGACGAGTCCCTGAGAAAAGCAGGGTGACTCGGGGTACACACTGAGCCCAGCCCAAATGCCATCTCAACGTAGGCCTCCAAAGACCCACCAGTAGCATTCCTGGGCACCCCACATGGCTACTCCCCTTAACCATTACATGCCTGTGCACAAACAGGGAACTGTTTCCTTAGCAAGTTTTGAGAACCCGCTGCATTTGAGTGTGCTGCATCAGGAGAGTGTCGTCACTACAGTCTGGCTGGCCTGAGACCATTCCATGCATTTCCTGTCTTGGCTGTGGGTTGGTATGCGTGGGTTCCCATGCATGACCATGTGCCCCTTGCTATTCTAAGGACTTTAAATTCAGGCTCCTGTCAATGACTCTACATCTCATTAACAGCTACTTCTACTGAACAACACTGTGTTGGCCTGGCCATCTCTGAAAGTGCAGAGTGGCAGACTTACTAGGAACACCCACACACTTCTCCCCGCCTCCATGCTGCTCTTGACTGAGCAGCCCTTAAGCTCATGCAGGAAGGCAACTGACATTTCCAGCTAATGTCATGCTGAGGTTTCCTTCACTTTCCAGTTATAATAAGACAAAACCCAACAAAAGATTCAAATGACTGTTAGTATGTGTGGGTGCCTTGGTGACAAGGAGGTAACAGGCCTAGGATGGTGGCCTAGGACTATGCATATACACACACACACACACACTTTTTTTTTTTTGGGTGTGTGTGCTCAAGTGTACTCCACACCTGGCTGGAAATGCTTCCAAGTCAGCCAAAGTACAAGGTCTATGACACTTGCTATGCCTGCAGTGAAGACCTAAACATGCCTTGTGTCACCACAGCCTCGTGTAAACCTTTAGGAGCAAACAGAAGGACTCTAATGAGGCTGTGGCTGGCAAGTTAAATGTGTATCAGCAGGTGTGAATCATCATGAGGCTTCCAGGCTCATGCCAGCATGGCCTCTGAGTGGCACTCACCCTGCTGACCATTGGAGATCAGGTCATGTTCTCCCTTCTGGACCACTGTGATGTTTCCCAGGGCCTGACTGAGCTTCAGTACAGCTCCACTGTGATTCTGGGTGTCCATAGGACTCCTGAGCTACAACACAGGACAACAAACACAGATAATCAACCCGACACACAGGGTTCACTGGTGGCAAGGTGAGTACCCATCCTGCCCATCAAGTCTCAGATGCTCACAGTCCACAAAAATCAAGGGCACTGGTTAAGGGCTGAGGAGTAAGAAGTGGCCAGGACATCACTGGTACCAAGCCCTCCAAGGGATGCTCATACCAATACTTACTCTAGAGCTAGTCTTCCTTTTGCTGGCTAGACCAGGTTTGCAGAAATAACACAAACCTGGATGATGATGATGATGTGCATGCCCCTACTCCACAGAGCACAGGCCTTTGAGACACATGCCATCAGGACTCATGGCTTCATTTTATTTCATTCTGTCCCCACATCCAGTGGAACAGAGGCTGTAGGTTTACAAACTAGAACTTCAGGACAGGAAGTGCCTTGGCCTGTGAGTAGAGCGGGCAGTCACTCAAGCCTATCACATCATCATTCATTCAATAAAATTTATAGAACCACAGAAGGCATGAAAAGCAAGTGTGGTAGAGCCCAGGGCAAACGTCTGCACGTCAGTCTCCCTGCAGAGACAGGCTCATGCCTTGAGATAAGCACAGCCCTGGAGCCCACTTCACCCCAGGTCAGGTCCCTTCTTTGCCAAAGTCCATGAACTCACCACAGCCTCCCAGAGCCTGCTGAACTCCACACGGTTGGGGGTGAGAATGGCCTTCTGGTAACCATGGATGAGGGCCGGCTGCTGAGCTATCAGCCACAGGCCATCCTGTGCAGAACAAGGATGCACCTTCACCGGTGGGCCTCAGAGACCCTGTGCTGACTGTGTGGGGAGGTGAGAGGCCACACTCACCGCGTCAATGACAACAGGGATGTCCCTGGCCTTGGTTGCTTCCAAAATACCCTGCCAGAAAAGCAGAGAAGGTGAACAATTTAGAGAATTTTGTAAAAAGGCCTTGTGCACACAGATAAGCACTGGAGAAGCCAGGGAACTTAAACACACAGCTCACCTCCTCAATGCGGTGAGGTGCTTAGTTTTAGTTGTTCCCCCAGGATGGCAGGGATGGGTGTAGTTTTACAACCTGGTGATCTTTGCTGTCTGAGATAGGTTCTGCCCATGTCTCCCAGAATTTTATCCTAGACCTTTTCCCCTAAATCTTGAGCATTGCTTCCAGGCCATAAAACCCATCCTCATGAGTGAAGTCACTTATACTTTCCAACAGCCTGAGTGACTTCTATACTATCTTAGGGCCAGGCCAATCCTGACACCTACAGGCATGTTTACCTCAGTCAAGTTCCCTAGACCCTAAATCTTGGGCACTATCTCCGAGTCAACAGCACCCACTTTTGTGAAAATAGCCAGAAGGACTTTGTAAAGAATCTCAGTGTAAACATGCCTTCAATTGTTATGCACTTGGGAGTGAGGTAATTGTTATCTGAATGCTTTCCCCAAGAGTCTTGGCACCACTTCCCACAATTAGGCTGCTCCCAGTTTCCTTCTTCCCTCATTCTGGTTCCCGGATGCTATAAAGCCTGCCTGCGGGGACTCTCCCACAGACAAGTGCATCACCTCTTGAGGAGGAAGGAGCTGGCAGTGCTTCTAGTAACAAGCAAGCACACAGTACACCCAGCTATACAGCAGCAGGGCAGACACAGCATGTGGCTCCTAGGCTAGCCCATGAGGACACATCTACCACTGCCAAATATCTAGCTCATGTTACACTTCCATACTTGAAGTCTGAGTTTTTGGGGGATTCTCCAAA